CTCTTCAGCCCACAGCAAACTCCCCAGCTCTGATTGCGCACACTGCTATCCTGACACCAACTACACCCAGCCTGGCACTACCTGGAATCTCTGCATACGTATGCGCATCTTAGCTTCTTGGAGGGAAGGGACCATACAATTTTGTGGGGTTTTTTTTTATTCCTCATAATGCCTACCAGTATGTTTTATATATAGAAATATCCATTTGCTGATTTGAAAAAAAAAAAAAATTAATTCTCCCATTTTATGGAAGAGTAAACTGAGACCTACCGAAGCTAAGTAATGTTTGCACCTAAATCACAAAGTGAGACCCTTAAAGGCAAGGACAGTATTTTATTCTTTTTGCAGCACTGCTGCCTGGCACATAGTATAAGTACACAACACATTTCTGTGGGATGAAGGGACTGAGTCCTTACTCTCTTCCCACACATCTTCCAGTGAGGATGGACTCCTCATATTGCTTCAGAAGGAAATAAGAGGCAGAGAAGAAAAGCATCAAAGGGCCAGTCTGGAAGAGGAATGTATGATTCCTAATCTGGCCTGGAGTGGGGCAGCCTCCAGGGACTACCCTCCAGGCACAGAGCACTCAGGTCCCTGCTGTCCCTTCCCTACCTCAAAACCCAGTCCCCGTGGCCTTCTGGGAGATTCTCCCATCACCTTCCCAGAGCCAGACCTCCAGAGGAATGAAGCAGCAGCAGCATCTCCTGGGAAACTAATGGAATTTGCTAGGGAGTACTAGAGAGTTCCACCCTGGATTTAAGACCCTTAATCCTGAGGAGGCTGGCTGGCTACAAGGCACATTTATTTCAATATGATCCCAATTTTGTTAAATGGACTCAAGGAGGGCAGAGAGGAATGAGGCTTCAGCTCCCAGAGGCTACGGAGGTTCATAAAACTTGCTGGAGAAATTAAATGTGGAGGGGGAGAAACTGGGAGTTTGGAGAGAGCTGATGGGGGGTGTGGGAGAGTGGGATGGAAAAAGAAAGAAAAATGTGATCTTTGGCAATGTCTGGGAGCTAGAACAGCTTTCATCCTGGGAGCTCAAAGAACTCTATCAGGTTGCATTGTCTGTGAATCAGTAGTGGGAAAGTGTAAGAGCTGGGGTTGCAGGATGGAGAGAGACCAGAGTCACAGAATGAGGAACCCAAGCGTTCTAACTTTCTTAAGCTTGTAGTGTGTATATCTTCAGAGCACGTGAGACAAGCCAAAAATTAGTGCCTTCAAAGACTCTTCAAAGGATGGCTGCCATAGCTGGAAGGGGAATGGTACACAGAAACATGGCAGTGTTGTTCTGGTGAATGGAAGGACCAGGGGAAAGCCAGAGATATCTGTCCATAGGTATATGGGGATGAGAAATGGCTGCGTGTGCGAGTGCCCAGGAGGCCACGTGGGAACCTATGCGCGTGCATGTGGGCACACACACTGTGCAGTGAGACTTGCATGCAGCAGCAATGTGGAAGAGGTGGATATGACCATCTTCAGGGGCTTCCTTCTGGGAATCATGCCGGCCCCCCCACTCCAACTTCCCTGCTTGGGATCTAGTCCTGGCTCTGTCACTTCTAAGATGTATCACATTGGCCGATCTGCTTAACATCTTTGAGTCTCTCTTTGTCCACCACAAAATGGGGATAATGACTCCTGCATTTAACAGATTATTGTTAGTATTAAATGAGTTACTAATGCACATAAAATACAAAGCACGTCCTCCACAAAAGTGAACAGCCTTCTCTCTCACTTGGAATGAACTCATTCTGTTTCCTGACTCCTGAGACAGCCTCCCCTTGATGCTGCATTTCAGCATCGAGGACCAAGGACGTGGCAGCCTCCTTCTCCCCCACTGCTGACCGCTGCCTCCTCCAACCCCTACACCAGCCCTTTCCAGGTCAAAGCATCCTCCAGGACATGGCCAAGTAAAGTGGTCTGGAGGCCTTGAAAAGAAACCAGGCAGGAGGTGGTAGGTCGGGAAGGGGCACAGCTTTCTCAGCCCTGGGCACATGAGAGGAATTTCCCTACCCTTAGCTGGAAACAGTCCCGCAAAATTGGGGTGACGGAGGAATTTGCCCCCTATCCCTTCCCTCCAGCCCAACCTCCCCCTTAGCAAGTCATTTCAACTCTCTCGGACTCTGTTTTCTCATCTGTTAAATGGAGCAGTAATAACTACCCTGTCTGTATCACAGGACAATCACAGTATCTCTATTAAATGAGATTGTACATGTGAAAAAGTTGCTAAAATTGGAAAGTACTATACAAGTACAAAGTTAAAAAGACTCTACAGGTGGGAAGAAAGGGGGCTTTACTAACCTCCTTCTCCTGACAGACAAGGAGTTCCCATCCCCACTGAATAAAACAGATGACCCTGAGAGCAAAGCAGCAAGATGGATATGCGCTAGGCGTGATGGGCTGAGCCTTGGGGAAGAAGGCTGAGCAAGGTACCAGGAGAAGCCTGGCCGTCGCCCTGGGGAAGAGGAGAAGGAAGAAGGCCCCTTCTCCCCTCCACAGCCGCCTCAGCTGAAAGGAGGCACTTGCACAGGTGGCTCAGACGTGGAGGCAGCCTGGCTTTGTAGTAAGACAAAGAGTTGAAATCGGGGATCTAATACCCCAGGGATGGCCTTAAGCAAGTTAATTAAACTCAGCTTTTGTCTCCTCATCTATAAAATAGGGGTAATGTTATCTTCACAAGGTCGTTGTTAAAAGGAATAAAGAATGATGAATGTGAAGAGCACACAGTAGGGATTCAAGAGGAAGTAATTTTGACACTTTGGTAGGGAGCCCACCTCCTACAGTCACTCTGCCCCACTCTAGGGCAGGCAGGGCTTCCCAAAGCAGATGGGAACACCAGATCCCAGCCTCTGTGTCTGCCAGGGACTGCGCTGAATTGGAAGCTGACTGTCCTGGTTTTCTCCCCAGGCCCCCACTCAGCACTCCACCTCTTGCCTCGCCACGATTCTCCAGGAGTCAGCCTTGCATGGTACAGGGGTAGTGCCCAAGTTTGTAGCTCATGGACCTGTAACGCTGTGTCTAATCTTAGAAACAAACACAGGTTGCAAACCTTTAGATTTGCCAAGTAAAGGGCTTTTAAAAAAAGTCATTTATGGGCACTGTCATATCATCAAAGAAAAACCATTCAACACCCAAAAATGTAGAAGGACAGAATCTCAGAATAAAGGATGAGTTTTAAAATTTGAGTGAGTTTCCATTTACGAGCACTCATTCCCTTTTCCTCTTAGTTCTCCTTTGGCTCTGGATCAGGAAAGACCCTGTCCTAGCCCAGCATCTGTCCCTGCTGGCATGTGGGATCCCAGGCAAAGGGGAGGGGCGCAGGATTTGAGGTGGGTTGGTTCCCCCAGCTACCATCGAGATACCTAACCTGTCTAAACCTCGATTTCTCATCCATGAAATGGGGATAATTACAGAGCCAATCTCAGGGGGCTGTGGTACAGATTAAATTAGATAATGCATATCAAGTAGTTAGCACAAGGGCTCAATAAATGATCTGTATTATTTCCAGACTCTGAAATGCTGCCACCTCGGGGCTAGCGTTCCTCATCTCTCCCAAGAAGAGCTCTAGCTCCTTCTCACTAGAATGCCGACCTCTTCCACTTGGTCCTCTCCTTCTCCAGAGCTTTCCCGAGGTCTCCAACCAGGGGAAGGCTGGTCAGCTTCCCCTTCTGGATCCTCTACAACCCAGTTCTCTCCGTTAGAGATACAAAGCAGAGGTACTGAAGCCCAGGACAAAACATCTGGGCAGCTGGAGCAAGAAAACAAAAAGAGAATCATAAGGAGAGCTGGAAAGGAAGCAAACAACTCGGCTTCCTATGTCCAGCCACAAAGTCATAACAGAAGCACTTACTGAGCACATCTTTCTGTGCCAGACACTGTTCCATGCACCTTACACGGATTAACATATTTAACTATGAAATGTTATTCCTAACCTTACTTTCCAGATGAGCAAACTGAGGCACAGAGAAGGCACATACCTTGTTCAAGCCAACACAACTACCCAGTGGCCAAGGGGGAGGGGGTTTAGCCAGGGAGCTGGACAGGAGTCTGTGATTTAAGCACCCTTTAATACTGCCTTCTTCCAACATCGTAGCACGCTCATCAAATCAATCAATTGATCCGATATTTAAGGGCACTTACCAAGCGAGTGTGTAGCACTGTGTCAGAAACTGAAAGGATAAAAGAGAAATTAAGATTTGGTCCCTGTGGATATAAAGAGGGTCTACAAGAGCTTCCATCAGCACTTGGTTCTCAAGTCAAGGGGGTAAGAGCCGGGGACAAGCCTGGGCTTCCTCATCCTCACCCCATCAGAGAACCAAAGGCAGAGCAAGACAGCCAACCATGCAGCCAGCAGAAGGTGGGAGGACCTAGATGCCTCCGCCTCCTGATCCAGGATCTTCTGGGGTCCAGAGCTTAGCCAGAGGTAATTCCAGGCACTAAATACTGGGTTCACACCCCCTTTGGGCCTGAGCCGAAGTCCCATCAGGAAAGTCAAGAAGGGCTTCCTTGGTGGCGCAGTGGTTAAGAACCTGCCTGCCAACCCAGGGGACACGGGTTCGAGCCCTGGTACAAGATCCCACATGCCGCGGAGCAACTAAGCCCGTGCGCAACAACTACTGAGCCTGTGCTCTGGAGCCCGCGAGCCACAACTGCTGAAGCCCGCACACCTAGAGCCCGTGCTCCGCAACAAGAGAAGCCACTGCAATGAGAAGCCCGCGCACCGCAATGAAGAGGAGCCCCCGCTCGCCGCAACTGGAGAAAGCCCGCGCACAACAACGAAGACCCAACGCAGCCAAAGATAAATAGATAAAATAAATAAATTTATATATAAAAAAAAAAGAAGGTCAAGGAGAGGGACCTGGTGTCCTGATTTCTGCCATGTCGCTCCCTGCCTCTTCCCCAACCTCAAGATCCTGCTTTGGGCTAGAAGGGTGGGACATCTGTGGGGGGTGGGGGTGGCACAGGGAGGAGAGAGTCCATTCCCAGCTACTCTTTTTTTCCAGACTCTTGTTCTCTGGCAGGATGTAGCTGTACTCGGCAGCATGTAGCTGTACTCGGCAGCTGAATACTGGGAATTTAGGAGGCCCTCTTCCCTTCACTCCTCACCGCCCTGCCAAGCGGTGGCAGGGATGCCCAGGGGACTCTGGGGGCTGGGGGGACAGATTTTCCCCCTACCTTCACCTCCACCCTCCCTTGGGCAGCTCCCACCCTGGGCCAGCCAGTCATCCCACATTGCTCTGATTAGCTATAATCTTTCTTTTTCAATTTCTCCTCCCTGAGACTGGGGAGTGAGAAAATCTCCCAGAAAATGAATAAATATTTCAATTTTCGGTGCAATCAGTCTGAGGAGCCAGCGCATGCTGGAAACAGGGGGAAGGATAATGGTTTTCATTTAGATAAGATACAGAAAATTATTTAGTGAAAAATGAAGATTGATGAAGCCCATTGAAATTCTTTAAAACGTGATTTTTATTTCTCTGCCTAGGCTGAACGTCCCCTTCCCCTCTCCTCTCCACTCCCCTCAATTCAACTGCCTTCTCCTCCCACCTTCTCTCCACCCTCCCTCAAGCCCCTGGCAATCCCCCCCTTGGTTTCCCCTACCACTGGCCCAGTCCCTGCCTACAACTCTTTCTTTCTAAGGATGGGGGCTGAGGAGAGAGGTCCTGCCGCCTTCCCCCACCCTGAAGAGCCCCAGATCCCCACTCCTTCCCGCCCTGCCTCCTCCCCAGTCCTTGCTCAGCTTCCCAGGAACACTCAGGAGTGACTTCCTCTCCCCTCCGTTCTATCCTCTCCCTTTTATTTCCCTTTGGTAACCCCTCCCCCCATCCCAAATACTTTTGCACACTTTCATCAGGTCTTGCTTTCACCCACGCTGGAGGATGGGCGATGGGAGCTCAGCTAACCCCTAACCCCTCCCCCCCTTTCCAAAGGGAGAAAGGCACACAACACACTTCTCTCGGACCGTTTCTGTCCCAATTCAATCCACATGCCTCTCCTGTTTGCTAACTGCAGCTTTTGTTCCTTGAAGCTCGTTTGTATCCACGTTGCTGACACATGAGGGCTGTGGGGAAAGGGGCAGACAGAAGCTTGCGCCAAACGCATATCAGTACAGACCCAGCTGACCCCTCCCCCACCACCGTGGGCCCTCCCCCATCTCCCCCTTCTCTAGCAGCCGGGCTGAACAAAGTCAGAACTTAAGTCATCTTCCCAACTTTCTGCCAAGTGGCTGGCTTGGCCTGCCAACCCCAGGGCCAGGCCTCCTTTCCCCCAGCACCACTTCTCACACCACGGATGTGCGCCCTTCCCAAATCCTAAGTGTGTGTGTGCGAGGGGGGGCATGGATGCCCTATGGGGAATGATGGATCGACAGACCCGCCCCCAGCAACTCAGCCAGGCTTTGGCTTCGGAGCCAGGGAGGCGCCTGGCCAGGATTGGAGGGGAGGGGTCCAGCATAACACCCCACCCCTAAACACACACCCACCGGGCCTGGAAGGGAACTGAGAGCAGGGCAATGCCTGAGGGTGCTCAGTCCAAGCTAACTTCCCCCTTCCCGGATCCCACCCCCCACCAAAAAGGAGACCACCTCCTCCATTTTGTTGTCTGTTCATCTCCGTAAGTGTCTGCCTATATGAATATCTGTTCAAGTTTCTTTGTTTGCTGGAGGGTTGGTATCCCTGGAAGGGTTTCAGTGTGTGTGTGTGTGTGTGTGTGTGTGTGCGCGTGTTGTGTCCTTGTAAATGCCCGCCTCATACATGTACTGTGTCTGTGAGTTTTGTTATGTTTGGGTGCATGAACGTGCACGCATGTGCCGATACGGGGGAGGAATCTGTCTTCCTCAGATGTGTCAGTGTCTTTGTGTATATGTGTCTGTCTCCGTGTGGGGGATGCTCGCGGGTATGTCTGTCTCAGTAGGTGAATAGTCTGTCTCCGTGTCTACGGCTGGTTTTTGGTGTTTGTATGTCAACATCTGTGTGTCAGCTCCATTTTGGGGGGGTGGGGGGAGCTTGCTCAGCAGGATTAAATCTTCCTTAGAGTCCGACCCAGGAGACAAGAATCCACGCCCACAGACCCCAGTCGGGGCTGAAGTCCAGGCCCTTGGTTTCTTCAGTTACCCCGCCGCCCCCCAGCCCAGCCTCAGGATACACTAACATCCTCATCTCTCTCTCAGCCTCTCCCTCATCTCCCAGCCTCTCCCCTGCCAGTCCCAAATAGGCCCCGACATCAACACTTTCCTGACCCCCCGTGGGTGTGAGCCCCGCCCGCAAGTGGCCCCTTCCATATCTAGCGGGCCCGGAGCTGCCTTTGGAACTCCACTCCCGACCCGGAGCCTCCGCGGGCAGGGGTTCGAATCCCCACCAGAGGCCCCGAGGCACCGCTCCCTGCCTTTGAAGGGGGCAGCCCCAGGCAGTCGGGAGCCGCCGCTCAGACTCAGCCCTCCCAGGGGCTGGGCTGGAAGGAGGACGAGGATTCCCTTAGCTGCATCTTCCGGAGCCTGGGCCCCCAGCTCTCCGCGCACCTCCCACCCCCGAATCTGAAATCCCACTCTCTTCCCAGCCTTCCCCCGGCCAGGACCCGGGCGTCCTGACTCCCGGCCTCGGAGGGTGGAGGTAGCTAGGGCTGCCAGAGGCTCCGGAAAAGACTTTGAGCGTTCGGATCCCTTTTTCACTCCGACCCCCGGCCCTCGCGGCCCCGATTCACCGGTCTCCCGCGCAGCCGGAGGAAACAACTTGGGCAAATCAACGGCAAACTCCTCCTCGCCAGCTCCCGTTACTCCGCGCCCCCTCCCCCCGGGCTCCGCGCCGGGACCCAGCCCCCGCCTCATGGCGTCCAGACCCCGGGGGACCGGCCGCGGGCCGCCGAGCCCCCAGTGTTCCCCGGGCTGCCGGGGGTCGGGGCGGGTGGGGGGGCCCTTACCTTGGGAGAAAGTATCGGAGAGAGTGAGGATCCAAACGAGGAGGCTCAGCATGCTGTCCGCCCGCCGTCCGCCCGCCCGCGGCTGGGGCCCGGAGTTGGCGAGCGAGCGAGACGAGCGGGCTGGGGAGGAGGGGAGCCCGGGAGCCCGCCCCCCGCCCGCCCGCGCCCGCCCCTGCACACTCACACGCACACGCACACTCACTCACGCGCGCAAACTCACTTCCCTTCCCTCCTCTCCTCTTTATTTCTCTTTCCTCCCGGTCCCGTCGCTCGCTCGCTCGCTCTCTCTCTCCCTCTCCCTTTCCCTCTTCTCCACCCCTCCTTCCTCCCCCCTCCCCCCCTCCCCCCGCCTTTTACTATTTCTCGCCTCAAGCTTTATCTCTCTGGGTCTCTTTCGATCTCTGCTCTCCCTTTCTCCCCCCTTCTCTTCCTTCCCTCTCTCTCCCTCCTCAGTCCCTCCTCCTGACGTCTACTCTCCCTCCGACGGCGCCTCCCTCCACAGCCCTCCTCCTGCCCCCCCACTGCGCGCGCACACGCACGCACACACACACACCCCTCGC